GGCCCTGGAGATACAGCAGTGACAGGACAGAGCTGTCCGACTAAGCCTGCAAGCCACTGGTGTCATACCCCCTTCCACACACACACACACCCAGTCAGGGAAAGCATTTCTGGTGTGGACACACACCTAGGTGGGGGGGATCTGTGAAGGGGCCACCTTACACTGCTCTGTGGCCCAGCTAAACCAAGGTATGCAGATGTGTCCTGTCCTGTGAGGCCTCCGTCATTACTTTTCAGCAGCCTTATGTGACTTCCTGCTTAACTGTCAGTCTTCTAGGTGTGGTCACTAGAGAGTCCAGCACCCTGACGCCTACTTATTACCTGGCACATGCCAGGTCCTTGGTATTTGACAAATATACAAGTATTACTTCCTAAGCAAAAATTAATTGTTAGGCTCTGACCTAATGAGTAAAAACATGTATACGCACATACATGGAGACATAAAGTTGGTGCAAGTAAAGGAACAGAGGACTTTGAGATTCCAGCTGTTCAGACACTTGGAGACTTATGTGCTCTACATGGACCTGTAAGCACATATGTGGACTGACCTATGTTCTTGAAACTTCCAAGTTCTTACAGATAACGGCATTCTGTGTTTTTCTGATCCTTTAATTTCTGTTCTCACCAGCGAAGAAATATAAATGGAAATGATTTTGTTTGGAAAATTGTGAGATAAAAAATATACACACACACGCTCACACACACAAACACACACAGAATTCTTTGGTGTGCATGTGTGTATTTTGAGGTACCTGCATGACATTCTGTCAAAAACATCCCCTGAGAATCTGGGCAGTTTCTTCTAACCTCAAGCATTGCATGACAGGGATGCATTTACATGCATGCAGGCAATATACTCATACACATAAAATAAAAATAATAAAGAAAAGCCGGGCGTGGTGGCACCTTTAATCCCAGCAGTTGGGAGACAGAGACAGACAGATCTTAGTTCGAGGCCAGCCTGGTCTACACAGCAAGTTCTAGGTCAGCTGGGTGTACAGGGAGACCCTGTCTCAAAAACACATAATAATAATATTTTGAAAATACGATCTGAAATGAATACACATAAAAAAATTTTAATTTTTAAAAACTGCAGTAAAAGAAAAAAAAATGGCGGGAGGCTCCTCAAGAATGACACCTAAAGTTATCCTCTGGCCTACACACACACACACACACACACACACACACACACACACGAATCAAAGATTCCAAGTTTGGATCACTGGCTGGCTGGGTGCTGTACAGGAGTATGTGGGGGTTTCTTGAGAAAGATCAAGAATTCTAAGCTGGGTTCATTCCTATAAGCACAGTTCTGAGAAGGTAAAGGCAGGGACAAGGGGGGTAAGGGCAGCCTGTGCTGCGCACACTGTCTCAAAACTCCCCCCCCATCATACACACACACGCTCACACACACAAACACACACAGAATTCTTTGGTGTGCATGTGTGTATTTTGAGGTACCTGCATGACATTCTGTCAAAAACATCCCCTGAGAATCTGGGCAGTCAATCCAAAGCTAAGAATAGCGTTTAGCCTGGAAACGTAAGTCAAACTAGCTGAATACAGAAGCAGTTGCAACCCCAACTGGTTAGCACACGCCCACCTGAGCAGACCCTTCCCTTTGCTGTGCCACACTTGCTAAGCATTAGCTACTGACGGTGACACGCTCCTGGTGCCAGACTCGTCCTCAAAACGAGCCACTGAACTACGCTGACAGGGTCAGCCCTAGTCGATCTCCAAACTGCTTGGCAGCAGAACCAGGAGAGAAACTCATTACGAAGCATCTGTCCCGAGATCCTGTCCTCATTCCTAAGCCAGAGAAATCTGAATCCTTCTGAGATAATTTAAACAGCACACACAATGTGGTGAGTTCTCCTGACACCTACCCTATATGCTGGTCTCTCCAGCAGCAGCTCAACCTGTGGACAGTTGTGCAAGGTGGAGTGTTGCAACTGGAGACCCTGGCTGCCCCAGAA